CCCCCTCGTAGGGTGGTGAGAGAGGTGAACAGAAGAGGCAATGACAAAAAACTGGTGCTACCCTAGATAATCCCTCTGTTTAAAGCATGCAAGACAGGCATTGTCTATGACAATATCCCAACCAGTCGCACATGCCTTGTCAGTCTTGCAGGAATGAGTTGGTGCAATGCCTTTGGCTACACCTTTAGGCCAATAATAAATAATTATGTAAATTCCATCAGGATCTTTTAATACTTTGTTTAATGTTACATTATATGGTGACATTCTGCATAAAAAAAAATACAGGCAGAGTAGAACAAAGATCAATTACAGGTGCTAGAAACAGACATCTCTCCTGTTTTCCCCTTATCTGGCATAACTGAAACTCACAAATTAACCAAAATGATGGCTCCAGAGAGGAATGACAACAGCTCTGGTTGATAGATTACACACAGTCTGATGTTACACATCACCACATTGCTTCTTTCGTACTCAAAAATCTAACTGGTCACTTTTCCTCAGGATACTACACATCAAAAAATCACATAATCCTCTACCACTTATACAGTAGGCTTTCAGTGTTGGATCTAACAACTGAGAAACCAGTTACTGATAACTAGGGGAATGTGAACAGCCAAACCAATTATACACAGACAGTGTGTTAATTGATTTGCACTTTACAGAGACTATTTCCTTCTGACAGGGTTGTGCAAAGCTAGAGCTAGGCACTTATTTCCCATTCTTTGACTGAATATAACTGCAAGCCAGCCAAACCCAACCCACTGTGCTGAGGGATAAGTACCCTGGGAGAAGATCAGCCTGCCATTTTCCATGAAGATGGTAGTGGAAGGCAGCCAAGTTCTATACCTGCAGGAGAGGGAATTTTATTATTTTATTTATTTACCATGTCCTGTTTTTAAGGGTCTTTTAAAGACATAAAAATACTAGCAAAATTAGTGATAATTAAAAGCACACTAATTTCAGATTCCAAGTGACCACTTAATGGGTTTGATAGTGTTACCATAAAATGAATGGTTAAATAAGGCTTCATTGGAAACACAGGACCCCCAGACTGCAGAGTTCAGCAACTTGGTATTAAATGGGCTGATTCTTCAGAGGGGTTTATAGATTTAAGTGAAACTGAATGCTTCCTAAAACCTCCTGTCAGGGCATAAAAACACCACAATTTTATTTAGAAAAACCCAAATAACTGTCCTAGTTTTTACTAATGATAAAAAGCTGCTGTAGTGAAGGTGATTCCAATTCAGTGTCCAGAACAGAGGGGAACCAAGAAAACCAAGAACATTCTCCCTTCATGGGCCTTATGTCAGAGTGCAGTCTCAGAAAGACAGTTTAGCCAACCGAGGCCATGATTATGTCCACAGGAAGCTCCTCTCCACTGCGGGCTGTGACCTGCATTGTTACAGTGTCTGTCAGGACGAGACGAGAACGCACCAAGAGGTCATGGCCACCCCGAAACACACCTGGAACAGAGAAGAGAAGAGGGAAGAGAATAAAGTGATTGAATGCCACTAGCTCATCCATCAAATTCTAAGGATACTCATGTGGCTGGAGCAAGGTCTCCTCTCCAAAGAGCATCAGCTGAACATAGTCCAAAAAATCCCCAATGCAGCTGGATAGTTATAAACCCCACCGTAGCACATTAAGGTACCCAGATGAGTTAGTCACTAGTATAAATCTTTCAAAACCCCACAGACACACAAATTAAATTTATATTTTAGACTCAAATGGGGAGAAGATCAAGACATTTCTGATATCACCATCACTTGCTCATCCAGTGTGCATCTTAGTTTAACATCTAGAATTACATTCAGTTGTTGCTCAAGTCCTCCTTGCATCTCCCATAGGATACCTCAGTTCAACTCATTCTGGAAATCCAGGGACTCCCACAAAGGTTGGGGTAACAGCTCCCTGAAGATCATGCAGGGCGGTTCTGAACTCAATTCAAACCATCCCAAGGGATTGGGCTTGTCCCCAATCCCTATCCCCAAGTAATTCTTCTGATCCCAACATTATCAGATACCCTGAATTTGAAGGGATGGGGAGCACAACAGGAACAGGCGAATGAATGTTATCTGGGGCTGTGGCAACTGAGCGATAGGCTGTGCACTAGTTGGGCTAACATCCTGAGCACTACTGTTCAGTCTCAAAACAGACAAATCCCTGCGTATCCCCAGAGTCGCTAAGAGTGTCACATAAGGTGGGGCAGAGATCCCGACAGAGAATTCCAACAGCTTACCTGCCAGGTACAATGTGTGAGAGTTTTTGTTGTCTGGCACTTTATCCGATCGCTCACACGGCTGCATCCCCAGGAACTTCACAATATTACTGACTGCCTCTGTTAAAAGAAATAACAGAGGGTCAGTTTCATGGGTTTATTTAACATCATTATTTTAACAGTGTTCAAAGGTACAGTAAGGCCCTCCTCCCAGTACAGAGAAGAGATATGGTCTCTGCCCCAACGGGCTCTTCACGGCAGAGAGTGCCTCCATATGTGTTCGTACAGGGCCCAGCTCAGTGGGGCCCGGATTCTGAGAGAGATCTTTGAACACTAATGCAAAACAAATCATAAATAATAATTCTGTACATGACACAGCAAGGGTGCATGGGTAACATGAAGGTGAGCAGAAAGGAGGACATCTACAGCATCAAGATGACTCCACAGCAATTCAGCAAGGCTAGTGCACAGCAGTGCTATAACTTATTTGAGGAGATAAATGTGGATACAATGAAGGACACAATGAGCTTCTTTCAGGCCTTGCAGGACACATGGGTCTTCAGGAGGGATTTAAAATAAGAGAGGGTTGTGGCTTTGAGTACCAGCTCAGGGAGGGTATTCCAGGCAGGGCCGGCTCCAGGCACCAGCGTAGCAAGCAGTGCCTGGGGCGGCCAATGAAGAGGGGAGCGGCACGTTCGGCGGCAATTCGGTGGCAGGGCCATCACTCCCTCTCGGAGCGAAGGACCTGCCGCCGAATTGCCGCCGTAGAAAGAAGCAGCGGTAGAGTTGCCGCCGATTGCGCCTTTTTTTTTTTTTTTTTTTGGTGCTTGGGGCGGCAAAAATGCTAGAGCCGGCCCTGCTTCCAGGCATGAGGTGACATGGAAGACAGCATAGAAATAGCCAAAGAGAAGAAACAAGGGGCAGCAAACTAAGGACTAATCCCCATCAGGCAGTGACTATTAAAGGGAGCAACACAAAACTGCATGATGAGGGCCCAATATAAAAGTACCCCCAGCAGCTGGCACCCTAACAGACTTCAATGGGCTTTGGAAGAGGCACAGATAGAGTCTTTAAAATTAATAAACTGAGTGTGAGGATGAGAACAAGAGGGGTCATTTAAGGATCCCTCCTCCCCAGCTTCATATTACCTCTATGGTTTACTCCTCCTTCCTACCCTTGGGCCCTAAAGCGCAGCCTATCTCCGCCTGTGCAAGGACAGCTAGAGTTAAGGCTGAACCATGTTCCAGCTTCTTGAAAAGGGTGTTGCTCAAGACCATTGTAAGGTGCTCCCTTCCTCACCATACGGCATTCCCAGTCCCCAAAGGCTCAGGATACTCAGAATTTAGGATGTGTTTCCATCACAACAATGACCAAACCAACATGGTTTCTTTTGAAATTAAAAGTTTTATTTGTCACGAAAGGCCAATACCGTGCACAACAGGACAAATCCAATTCTATGAACCTACGCCAGAGATGAATTTGGCCTGTCACAAGCTCACTCAGAAAGAGGTTTGTATTGGACCTTAGACCTGAACTGTGACTCCAATTTCAGAGTGTAGAACTAGAGGCCCAAAGGAGCCTCAGCAGACCATAGGGAGCCACAGCTCTAAGGGTATATCTACATTGCAGCTGGGAGGTGTGATTCCCTGCATGGGCAGCCAGACTATTGCTAGCTCAGCTCAAGCTAGTGCACAAAAAATAGCAGTATGGATGTTGCAGCAGTGGCCATGGCTTGGGTTAGCCTCCCAAGCTCAGACCCAGGGGGGCAGGTGGGCCTGGACTTGGGCGGCTAGCCCAAGCCACCACTAGTGCTGCAACATCCACGCTGCTAGTTTTAGCATGCTAACTTGAGCTGAGCTAGTGCGAGTCTGTCTACCTGTGCTGGGAAGCACACCTCCCTGCTGCAGTGCAGACATACTCTAAAAGGCCAGAGTTCAGACTCTGCCTCTTGCAAGCAGGGAAATGCTAGGAGTTCTGTGGGGGTCAGAGACTTCCTTACCTTCCAATGTTTTAATGGTGGATAAAGTGAAGGTCTCTTCCTTTTCAAACTCATCACCCACCTCGTCCCAGGCTGCTCCAAAGTTTGGCTTCAGAACCCTCTGGATGTGATCAGCTACCGTTACCTCAATGTCTTCAAGCTGATAGGGAAAGAAAGTTTTAC